TTGTCCGAACTTTATTGTGCAGTTGAAAAGGAGAGGCTGAGTTGTAAAATCAGGTCATACTCTGTTCTCCAAAGTGAGTAAAGGCTCGTGAAGGTCAGACAGAACAGAGGCAGACAGAGGGCAGAGGGGTCTGACCCTTGGCAGAGCCACTGGAAAACAAGGAAGTGAGCAGGACTGTGCCTGAGTAGGGAAGAAATGAAGGCGTCCTAAAGCCTGGGCTTGATGAGTGATGGTATCAGTAGTTGGAAGATTTGTTTGAATACTTAGAATTCACCCAAAAAGAACATTTACTAGGTAATTGGATATTGAACTGTTAATCAGAGTCAGATTCAGGTGGGAATTAACATCTCTGGAGCACATTGGTTCTAAAATCTTGAATGTTTAAAGCAAAGGGTGGATTAAAGGCAGCACCCTAAGACTGGTATTTAAATGGTGGATAAAGGAGATTTATTTACATATTTCATTTGAGATAAAGTCTCACGCTGCACTGGGACTCACTATGTTAGTCCAGGCTTGTCTCAAATTTACAGCTATTACTCTGTTCATCTTCCCAAGTGCCAACTTGAGCTACAAAAGACCGGGTCTTAAAGAAAGGAGGGTGGGGGAAAAGAATCTAGTTGTCAAGAGTGAGTTAGAAAGTGAAGAACTAAATATAGGTCGTTTCTTACGCTTGACCATGACAAGGAGGAATGGTAGTACCAGAAGTATACAAAGGTCATTGGAAGGGTCCTCTGGCTTTAAGTTAGAAACAAGCATGTATATGGACTCATGGGAAAGAACCAGACAAATTATTAAAGGTAGAGAAATGGATGAGGACATCTCAGTGTCAGAGTGCTTGCCTAGCACACAAAGAAGACTGGACGGGCGGTAGTGGCGCACGCCTTTAATCCCAGCACTCGGGAGGCAGAGGCAGGCGGATCTCTGTGAGTTCGAGACCAGCCTGGTCTACAAGAGCTAGTTCCAGGACAGGCTCCAAAACCACAGAGAAACCCTGTCTCGAAAAAGAAAAAAAAAAAAAAGTGGATTGAAAAGAAGGGGGTAACAGTGGAGCAAATGGGTTGCAAGGAAGAAGGATACCTGATGTGTTGCTGGGGTGTGTACAAGGGGAAGCACCAGAGTGCTTATTCACTCCAATGGGGTACTACTGAAAAGGCCCTCACCTCTTCTGTCATTTTGGTTTTTTAAGTATTTTGAGAAGGTTTTGTGCCAAGCCTGGCCTTGAACTCAGATTCTCCCGTTTCTGTTGCCAAATGCTGGGATGACAGGTAAATGTATGCCTGCATGCCTGGCTTGTGTCACTCACTTTCCCTACTTGCAGATCCTTACTTACCTTCTCAGAAATAAGGGAGACTGTGCAGTATAAGTTAGCCCTCATCAGGAGAGCATGTCTTTCAAGGGTAAGCTGTTCTTACCACACAGGAAGCAGTTCTAGAGAAATGGTTCTGCTGCTTCAGTCAGGACAGTGTCTTCTTGGATTTGAGCCTATGGTTTTAAGGGATTTGGAGAGGTTCTCCCACATTCTTTTTTTTTTTTAAAAAAAGTTCTTTTTGATGTGTATGGGTGTTTTGCCTACATGTATATCTGTACTATTTGTGCACCTGGTACCCTCAGAGGCCAGAAAGTGCATCAGATCACCTAGAAATGGAGATGTGAACAGTTGTGAGGATGCTGGGGATTGAACCTGGATCCTGGAATAGTACCTAGTGCTCTTGACTGATGAGCCATCTCTATAGCCTCTTTTGTTTGGTTGGTTGGTTGAGACCAGATGGTCTTGCTGTATAGCCCAAGTACTTCTAGATTCAGTATCTTCCTGCCTCAATTTCCAAGGTTGTGGGTAGCAAGTGCCACCACACCTTGCCCATCTCCGTTACCCTTTTTGAGAAAGTGTCTCATATGTCACAGGCTAGCCTCAAACTAGCTATGTAGCCAAGGATGACCTCAGACTCCCCATCTCCTGCCTCCACCTTCAGCATGCTAGGATTATAGGTATGTATAGCCTTGCCTCGTTTTTTTGCAGATTTAACGGAGCTTTCTCATCCCACCTGGTCCCATAACTACTTTTAAAATAATTATTCAGGGCTGGAGAGATGGCTCACAACAAAAATATAAAATAACTATTCAGTTCTTATCTACACAGTTAAAATAAGTACAAGCCAAGACGTAAAATAGTGCAGCAGTCAGGAGAGCAAAGGCAGATAGATACTTATTAAAGGTACTGGGTGAAGAGTCCAAGAATAAGAAAATAAAAATGTAGATTCCAAAAATAAGAATGTAGAAATAAATATAAATTTATAAGTCTAGGAGAACGAGAACAGACTATCAGCAGCTTTCTCAGCAGATCAAGGATCACTCATTGACAGTGAGCTGTTTTCTCAGATGCTTGGGAAGCTTAGGTCATTTCACAACTTGATGTTTACAAGGCCAGAGCTTCTCCCTGCAAACTGAGAGTAGTGTCCTGGCCATCCCTGATAAACGACAGATGTGAACTGAGGTAAGCTTTAGGAGACAGAGATACTGACCTCTGGGTTAGGCACTGTCTCTGTTATGGAAAACTGGCACCTTTAAGGAGAGGCATGGGACTCCAGTATACACTGCCTGGAGGTACAGAAGACAGTGGACAAATACAAACAATGGTTTAATTAATGAGCTCTGATAATGGAGGTTGTAAAGTAAGGCAGTCTGTATCTGAGTTTTACCTTGAGATAGTGTGAAAAGCTTTCCACTGTCTTCTAAGTTCTCAGCCTAAGAACCAGTTAATCCTAATTTATTAACCTTCTAGTATTACTAGCAGTCTCTTTTCTGACTATTGCTAAAGACATCTGTTTTCTTACAATTAATGATTTTCGCTGTAATCGCCTCTGAAACATATTTCATGATGGCTGCCTAGTTACCCATTGATACTAAAACTCTCTCCCCTCTCTAGGGTCTCTGCTGACTAACCCAAGGGTCAGGGCAAGGTTGTAAAAATTCCTTTGCCCAGACCTAGTGCTTGGTGCCTTACTATAAAAGGTGGGTTCAAAAACTAGTCGGGACCATAGCCTAACAAATACCATCTCTGGCTGTGGTCTCAGCTAGCTGATAAGCTTCTGTGCCCCCGCGGTGTTTTATTTTTATTTTTTATTTTTAAGTTTGCTTCTGGTTTTCCTAGGATCTGGTTTCTGGAATAAAGTTTGCTTCTGGTTTATTAGACTTGGTGGTGTTCTCATCTTTGCGCGACTCCCCTGGACCCAACATTGGGGAATTTTATTCAGTGAGCTCTATATATCCACACGGGTTGGCCCACATTTTTGTTTTTTTATAACATTTTTTTAATTGAATCTTTGGGTATTTTACATCATGTACCCTAACCCCCCACTTCCCAGTCTTTCCATATTCACCTTCCACTCTTGTATAGCCTCCCTCCAGAAGTAAATAAAACAAATAAATAAAATTAGAAAAGACAAAACAAAAACATCTTGCCGGCCCTGCTCCTCTACCAACTGCAGCATTCTGATGCATGTACCATTCTGCTCCTCCATCCCTCCCGCATGTCCATCATATAGTCATATGTCGTTGTGACATTGGAAATTGTGGTGTGTCATTTAGTATACTCTCCTCCAAACAGCTTTACTTAAGAATGTTCATTGCCATGAATCATTAGGCTGCTTCAAGGCCTCTGGCTTCAGCTACAACGTCAATACTGGGCCCTCAGAGACTTGGATATCCTCCTGTTGCCCTGGGTCAGGATCCCGCAGCTCCTAAATGGGGAGGTGCTGGAGTGTGGCTGGCCCATTCTTAATCATACTCTCATCCCTACAAACACTTCTGAGCATGCTCAGCTTAATTAATTTAAGAAGATAGTAGGTACATTTTTAGGTCAGGGGGTATGTGTTTATGAGATTAAAGGGGGGGGGGATGAACAGAAATGCCTCCAGGCATGCTCAGCTTACACCAGAAAGCCTTGCTGAAAATAAAGGACACTGAAAGTGCATAAATTTAGGAGTTTGCCCCTTGGGTGTTTGCCTTACTTAGTGGAACTGGTGTGTGGACGCTAAAGTTGCCACTTGTTCGTTTTGTTGGTTATATTGCTTACAGATTGTCCAGTCGTACCTTCTGCTGTACTGCAGACTTAACCCGGAGTTGTACATTACCAAAATTTAAAATATGTATTGTTACACTTCCACATTCATCAGTCTTCAGATTACATAAGCAAGCACATGGGCTTTTGGGGGTTGTGTATGTGTGTTTTGGGTTGTTTATTTAGTTAGAGACGGTGCCTTGCTATGTAGATTACCATCATCTGCCTCATAGTTGTAGCAGCCACAGCTGGCTACTAGTCTTAAATCCATTCTGTTTCACACTCATATTTTGTCCTGAGTTTTCATTCAAACAAAAAAATCTTAATGCTATGGAAGAATCGTGAGAATCGTGGCATACTTTATTTTTTGAGACAGGGTCTTAATATGTAGCTCTGACTGGCTTGGAACTTGCGGTGTAGACCAGGCTGGCCTCGAATTCACAGAGACCCTCCTGCCTCCAGAGTGCTAATTTTTTTAAAGACGTTTGCCACAATTCCAAAATCACCGGCGGACATTCTTTTTTTTTTAATATTTATTTATTTATTATGTATACAATATTCTGTGTGTATGTCTGCAGGCCAGAAGAGGGCACCAGACCTCATTACAGATGGTTGTGAGCCACCATGTGGTTGCTGGGAATTGAACTCAGAACCTTTGGAAGAGCAGGCAATGCTCTTAACCACTGAGCCATCTCTCCAGCCCCCGGCGGACATTCTTAAAACAATATATTTCAGAACTCTGAGAAAATAAATAAGTTCCTTTTTTGTCAGTAACTGTTTAAGAGCAGATGGCATTTGTGCATTTGGCACCAAGGTAGCTCTCGTCCTTCAAACGGAGGTGGGCGCAGCGCCTCCGGGAGCCGCCAGAGGTCGCCAGCGCCCGCGGAGCCCTTAAGCGCCGCTCTACGCGTCGCCAGCGTTCGGAGCCTACAGCGGCTTGGGCGGGAGACCGCGACGCAGTGCATTCTGGGTTGGCGCAGCTATGGCGGCTCGTGTCCTTTCCGTCTGTGTCCGCCGCCTGCCCGCGGCCTTCGCGCCGCTGCCCCGGCTTCCCACATTGGCCTTGGCCCGGCCACTCAGCATCACTGTCTGCCCCGAGGGAACCCGGAGGAGGTCTGGGACTCTGCAGTCCGCCCTGGCCCTCACGCAGGTGACTCGCGGTGACTTTGCCGGGGCTGCTCAGGGGTCAGGGCCCGGGCCGTCCGGGTTGTGGGAGGGGCCCGGGCCGGCTGCACAGGGGCTGCAGGGATAATTCGGGGTACACTGCTAGCCCTGCTGCCCGACGAGTTTTGGTTGACCCTTGTCGCGAGGGCGAGTGTCTTATGATTAGAGCACAGCACTTTGACCAAGTCTCGACCGAACAGAATTGGGCACCAGATCTCATCCTTGCAGAGTGGCAGTGAAGTTCAGTTGAGAGAGGTCGAGTAGAGCACCTCCTGCAGTCCCCGTTGTTGTGGTGATGGTATACTGTGGTCACTTCCTAGGGAAGGTTAAAGACAGCGTGCACAAGGGGAAACCACTCGCCTGCACAGAGTATTGCCTTCCTAGAGTTCTGTCGTAATTTTTCCCTTGTGACACCTTGTCTGTGAGCCCTCTGGAAGTAGAGATAGGAAACAAGTGTGAGGCTGAAACTTGGGCGTCACTTCCAACCCTAGATGCCCAACAATAGATTTAGCTCTCTTCCCGCACCCCTTCTGACTAATTCCAATGGGATCAGGCCCTGGCATGGCTTCACGTTCCCCATGTGCATCCCAGATTAGGAACTGCTTACTGTAGGATAGACTGGGCCAAGGTGGAAAACCCTTTTCAGACTCATGAGCTTCCTATGGTCGTGGTTTCGGTTACACCTGCATCCTACAGGAATAAGAATCTACATCCAGGGGGTTGGAGAGATGGCTCAGCGGTTAAGAGCATTGCCTGCTCTTCCAAAGGTCCTGAGTTCAATTCCCAGCAACCACATGGTGGCTCACAGCCATCTGTAATGAGGTCTGGTGCCCTCTTCTGTCCTGCAGGCATACACACAGACAGAATATTGTATACATAATAAATAAATAATTTTAAAAAAAGAATCTACATCCAGTGTTGAGATTCGCTGACAGTGTACCAAAAGCTTGTCGTATAAGGTGTTAGAAGGGCAGTAAAGTTGCCTGTGTTTGGGTCTAGAGACTAATTTCAATTAGTATCCCTGTTCTTCCAGCATTGCTTCGCAGTCATAGGTGTGCACACAGGTCCTCGGGGTTATAAAAGAAGACTGATTTGTTTTCCTGGGCTTTGCATATGTGGCCCTGAGATCATGTTTACAACAAGCAGTAAACATGTTTACAGGCAGTGCTTTCTCTGCTGGGTTTATACTGACAGTAGGGGAACTGCTTTATGCTTACAGAATGGTTTTGAGTTAGCTCATTGATACATGAAGAGAGACAGTTGTTTACAGGGTATTTTAAGGTTTGTTATTGGAATATGAATGTTCTCTGCACAAATCAGAGGAAGCAAACAGTAAGCAAGATTTGTTGAAGCAATAAGAAACCTTTTCACTGAATCACCCAGTTGGCTTGGAAGTTTCTGGCTAGACAGAAGATGGAGAGGGAGTAAAGTAAGGAAGAGATTTGTAGAGGCGCGGGTTTGTTTCAGACAGCTGCATTTGAGGTGTCTCAGTCCTGAGGTTTGAAGTGGGCAAGTGACAGAGATGGCCTTTAAAGCTATTTCCATAAACAAACAAGGGCAGAGGGGAACAAGATGGATTCTAATAGAAACTCTTCAGTATCAGGCTAACTTAGCGTCACTGCAGATAGAGCCACCCTTGGTGCTTGGAGATCATTTATGTCACATGTCTGAGTCTGGGGGAAGAACACCCCCAAGACAACTGTTGACTGTGGGGGAGGTGCTTTCCGAACAGTAGACATCTGGCAGAAGGAAGCAATTTAGACCCTCCAAGAGAGCATGCAGGGGCCCTGGGGCAGGGTATTTAACCATCCTGCCTCAGTTTCTTTGTAAAAGGTGTGTAAAGTGCTTAGAGTAGTACCCCATGGTCTGATTTAGTGAGGCAAATCAGTCCTGGCCTGTAATCTCAGCTCCTTTGTAGGCAGCAATAAAATAACATGTTTAAGGCCTGTCTGGGTAAAAGTAAGTTCAAAGCTACCCAGAGTAACTTAATTAAGCCCCATTTCAAAACCAAGGCTGGCGGTATAATGGTGGAGCCCCTGCCTGACATAGATGAAACGGGCCCCATTCCAGTACCAAAATAAGTAAATAACAAATTTTTAAAATGACTTAGGAATAAATGGGATATGTATTTTAGGCTACACCACAGCTGAGGGCCACACTGCCAGGCTGCTGTAGCATTGCTAGATAGATGCCAAGCAGTGTCCAGTGCTTTCGTATCATCTTACCTTGCCACAGTCTTATGAATGAGGTGCTGCTGTTTATCCATATTTAACAGTTAAAGAAACTGAGGCATATACAGGTTATATAACTGGATGGGGACAAACAGCTAGTAAGAGCTATACCCTGATGCTAATTAACAGCAGCAGTCTGTTTCCTAATCTGATCTGGTTTCTGAGGCTCACCTCTCAGCTCACTACATCTTACTGCCTTGTACTGAGCTCACTGCGACCATCTATTTTAGACTGACATGTAGCCTCAAGACAGAACTCTTAGTTCAATCTCTTGGTACTTACCTGGCCCTGCAAGAACTTGCCAGTGATGCCTGGTGAGCTGCTGACACCTAGTGACCACATGAGTAACTGCATACGTGCAGACAATCTTCCCAGTCACTTTTCCCATGGCATGGTGACATGCTGGGCACAGTTCTCCATCTCCACTTCATACCAGTCCTTGATACTTTTTGTTTTTTGTCTTTGAGATTTAAGGCTGGCCTTGGAACTGTGTTGGTGAGGGTGTGTTGCTCTTCCTCAGCCTCCCAAGTACGAGGATTGCAAGCCCGAACCACCATGTCTTTCTAAAATCTGCTCGGATTTTTTTCCCTTCCAGGCGGAACACTGAACACGAGGCCTAACTCATACTAGGCAAGCCCTCAACCAATGAACTACAACCCCAGTCCCTTACTAGTTTCTAAACTCTTCTATACCTTCTTGATATGCACACAGGACTTGATAGGTCCTCCTACTTCAGAAGGTCATTCTCATTATTATCATATTTCTTCTCCCTCTTTATTCCTTTCTGCTTCATTTTGTGACCTCTTCAAGTCACTGTGATGAGTAGATCTAATGGTATGTCCCTAATCAAAGGGCTCTGACACACAGTACAAAGGCAACAATGGATTTAGGCGTGAAAAAAAAAGGTGCTTTGCCATAGTCTTCAGAGATCCTCTAGAATATCTCTTCAGTTAATGTCTTTAGTTTGCTGCAAATTAAGTCTATCTTGATAAAGCGGTATATACTGGCTCAGTTTTATTTTGAAGTAGGTTCTTGCTCTATAGTCCAGGCAAGCCTGGGCTCTGGATATCAACCTCAACCTCTCAAGTGTTAGGGTTACAAACATTTGACACCACAGCAGCTCTTAGGTCATTTTTCATGGGTATTTTTTCATAGACTTACTCAGGGACCTGAGTGCCAGCAAGCAAACCCAGTTCTCCCTCATACATTTGTTTAGTTAGTGTGAATGTGCATGAGAAGGTCAGGGGATAACTTGAGGGCCCATGTTTTCTCTTCCCACCATGTAGATTCTAAGGATTGAACTTAGATTATCAAGCTTGGTGGCTAGTGCCTTTAGCCTCTGATCCATATTGCTGTCTTTCTTCCTCCCCGTTCAGTATTCAAGATTGAACCCAGGATTTCACACACTAAGCAAATTGCTCTGCTATTAAGCTATATTACATCCCTGCCCCCTCTTTATTTTGAAACAGGTTCTCACTAAATTGCCTAGATTGGCCTTGATCTTGATCCTCCTGCCTCACTTGCCAAGTATCTGGGATTAAAAGCCTAGCTACAAAATCATTTTCTGTGGAAAAGCCTTAGCAACAAATTAAGAACTTAAAAAAAAGGGCTAGAGGGCTGGAGAGATGGCTCAGAGGTTAAGAGCATTGCCTGCTCTTCCAAAGGTCCTGAGTTCAATTTCCAGCAACCACATGGTGGCTCACAACCACCTGTAATGAGGTCTAGTGCCCTCTTCTGGCCAACAGGCATACAGACAGAATGTTGTATACATAATAAATAAATTTAAAAAAATAAAAAAAAAAGATTTGTTAAAAAAAAAAGGGGCTAGAGAGATGACTCAGAGGTTAGGAGCACTGGCCCTTTTATGTTAGTGACAATCTTACTGAACAAGATGGTGTCCAAAGTCAGAGGAACGAGTCCTGATTTTGAGGACAAGTGACACCCATTTTGATGCTAGAGCTGCTGAGTTGACCCACATCTATGACTCAGTATATAGCAATGGCCACATTGGAGAATGAGATGGTAGGGATTTGTAGAGGCCAGAAGCTTTGTGAAAGTGCCTAGCATGCATATTGAGGTGGCTCAGCAGGTAAAGACACCTGCCACCAAACTTGGTGACCTCAGCTCAATCCCTAGGACCCAGAAGAAGGAGAGAATTGACCCCCACAGCTTGTTCTCTGACCTCCAATCAGGTGCCATGGCATCCTGCTCCCAAGTAAAAAATTTAGGTTTAAGTTTTTAAAAAGATACCTGAGGACATGTGCACTACGTAAAGACACTTGGGACTGAGTGACACTCCTTCCCGTCTTTGTTCTAGGTGCCTGGAAGGGTCACAAACTTGTGCCGCCAGTACAGTGACGCACCCCCTTTGACGTTAGAGGGAATTAAGGACCGAGTGCTGTATGTCTTGAAACTCTATGACAAGATTGACCCAGAAAAGGTAACTGGTTTAGATTTCCTTTCAAAATTTACTAATTTCCCTTTTGCTTTGTTTTTGTGTGTTTGTGTATGTACTTATGCACCTTGTATATGCATGCCATGCCCCCTTTGAGGAAGTCACAGGACAATTTGCAGCAGTTAGTTCTTTCCTTCCACCATGCCCTACCAGAGATTGAGCTCAGAGGTCATCAGGATCGGTAGCAAGCATCTTCACCTGCTGAGCCATCTCGCCAGCCCATATTTTTTTCCTTTAGCATATTCAATCACATAGTATAAAATTCAAAGGGTCCAAACAAACATTCAATTAAAAGTCCTTCCAGGAGGGCTGGAGAGATGGCTCAGCAATTAATAACAGTAGCTGCTCTTCCATAGGACCCGGGCTCAATTCCCAGCACCCATATGGCTGCTCATAACTGTCTGTAACTCCAGTTCCAGGGTATCCAACACCTTCATACAGACATTCTTACAGGCAGATATACCAATGCACATAAATAGTAAAATAAAAAAGCTCTGCCCAGCTTCCAGCCAACCAGTTCTTCTACTAGGAGATTGGCATTGTCCCTGTATAGATATAGCTTCTGGTTTATCTTTCCAGAGAGAAATAATCGTTATTTCAGGTAGCACAGGCACATTATGTAGCATAAATATTTGTCTTAGTTACTTTTCTATTGCTGTGATAAAATATGACCAAGGCAACTTACAGAAGGAAGGATTTATTTAGGTTATAGTTTCATCATGGCAGAGAAAATGCAGTAGGCAGGTAAGCATGGCACTGGAGAAGTATCTGAGAGTTTACATCTTGAACCACAAACAGGAAGTAGAGAGTACACCTGGGATGGAGGAGGCTTTCAATGCCTTAAAGCCTGCCTCTGGGACACAACTCCTCCAACAAGGCTATACCTCCTAATGCTTTCCAAATAGTCACCAACTAGGAACCAAATATTCACATGCCTAAGACTTATGGGGACTTCTCATTCAAACCACTCTTCTGAAAACACACATGGTCTGGGAGTGTAGTTCAGGGAGAAACATATTTACCCCATGACAGGGCCTAATCACAATTCTCAGTACAAGGAAAGCCTGCAAAAAACCACAGGTGGCCCATATACCAGAACTGCATTCTTTCTGCCTCTTGAGTCTTTTATTTTCTTGAGACAGGGTTTCTCTGTAGCTTTGGAGCCTGGCCTGGAACTAGCTCTTGTAGACCAGGCTGGCCTCACACTCACAGAGATCCGCATGCCTATGCCTCCTGAGTGCTGGGATTAAAGGCGTGCGTCACCACTGCCTGGCAGCCATTTGCTTTTTTGTTTTAAAAAACAGGGTCTTGCTATGTAGCCCAGGCTGGCCCAAAAGTCACATTTTCCCTCCTCCTGAATGCTGGGAATATAGAGGTACTTCCACATGAGGTTTGCTTCTTTGTTTTTTAATTTAACTCTTAGAATTTTTTTTATGGTGGTTTGAAACAGTTTTTTTTTTCTTTAGTAACTGAATCTGTTGTGTAGTTTAACGTAGTTTTTAAAAAGATTTTTTAAAAAAGATTTGTAGGGCTGGAAAGATGGCTCAGTGGTTAAGAGCATTGCCTGTTCTTCCAAAGGTCCTGAGTTCAATTCCCGGCAACCACATGGTGGCTCACAACCATCTGTAATGAGGTCTGGTGCTCTCTTCTGGCCTGCAGACATACACACAGACCGAATATTGTATGCATAATAAATAAATAAATATTAAAAATAAAAAATAAAAAAGATTTATGTGTATGTGCGTTTACCTGCCTATGTGTGAACTGAGGACAGAAGAGGTCATCAGGTTCTCTCATCTATTTTGAGGCAAGGTATCTCTGAACCTGGTGCTTCCACTTTCTCAGCTAGGCTGGAAACCACCAAATCCAGTGTGTCTGCCCACTCGAGCTGTGGCAGGCATATACTAGACACACAGCTTGTTAGATGGGTACTGGGATCCGAACTCTGGGCCTCAGGATTGTATAGGGAATTCTTTTAATTGCTGAACCATCTTAGGCCCTTAACATGGATTTTGAAGAATATTTCCTGGTGATCTTAAAAGCCAAATTATAAGCAAGTGAATACAGTATTCTGTCATCTGCCAGGCATCTACAATTTATAATAAATCTTAGGATTTTTAGTTGTTGAGTGTGCATGTGTTGCTGGGGATGGAACCGTGGGCCTCATGCACACTAGGCAAATGTTCTATACTGAGCTACAGCCCTATAATAGCTTGGTTGTTTTTTTTTTTTTCCCCACTGTGTAGCGCTGATTGTAATGGAACTTGCTATGTAGACCAGGCTGGCCTCAAACTCAGAGATCTTTCAATGACTGCCTCCTGAGTTAGTAAAATATCAAGAAAACAAATTCTCTCAGGTGTCCTTTAGAATAGTTATCAAAGATCCTAATAAAATATGTAGCATGAAATCTTTTATTTAAATTTCTTTCTAAACTTAACCACCTTAAAATCAAATTGAATAGGCTAACAAAATATACTGTGTCCATGGCAGCATATGTTAAATACACCATGTTATTTAAAGGCTTGTGTTTCTTTGCAAATCTTCAATATGATGATAAAGTACCACTCTGTTGTCTTGGGAAGCAGACACTTTCATGGATTCAATTTTGTTTGATATTTCTTTCTTGCAGCTCTCAGTAAATTCTCATTTTATGAAGGACCTGGGCTTAGACAGTTTGGACCAAGTGGAGATTATTATGGCCATGGAAGACGAATTTGGTAACAAATATATGCTTTGGATCTGTATGCTAGGAGTCCTCATTTTGTTGTTTTTAAGAAAAGGTCTCTCTCTCTCCCTGCAGCCCAGGCTGTATCCCAGTTGACTCTTTGGTGGTTTAGTTTAAACTGAAGTAAATGCTGGAGTCTGGACTAGATTCAGATATTAGTAGATACAAAAACAGCAATACTTGCCAGGCTTCTTACTGTCAGGTGAAGTAATGTTAGGGACAGTGCAGGCCTGGCAGAATGTAGACTAGCATTAAGGGCTGGCTGGTCCGAAAGGGCTTGGGAACGTGGGACCTTCAGCTAAACAGCAGTAATAAGCGGTGCTAAGGACACACAGGTGAGGTCTGGGTCTCCTGTGATTGTTTGCCATGCCTGCTCCAAACTGTTTTTATTAAGATCTGTTTGCTGTGCAAACAAGACTTTATAAAATCCCTTGGATCCTTTTTGGGTAGCTTTTTAGGAAGCAAAGGATATGTGTGCCACCTAACAGGGCAGGCCATAGTTAACGCTCCTCATAGATGATATAAGCAAGTGCTATGCTGTTGCTACTTATAAACCTTTTGGTTTTTGGTCTGGACTGAGTTCAGACATATGTGAGTCTGACAAGCCACGTCACCTCTCAGAATCTTCCCACACTGTGAAGTGAGTGTGCCGGATAGGATCCTCAAGATGGGGACTGCTGAGAGAGCACATATAACGTGCTCAATCCAGTATCTGAGCCAAAGTAAACCCTACTGAAATTATCACAACCCAACTGTAACAAGGAACAAAGAAGTACACGCTGCAGCATGAATGACCCCGGAGGACAAAATACAAAGCAGCTCATCACATGCTGCACACTTGCTTCATGGCATGAAGTTTCAAGAGGAAAACAGATGGGGACAGAGTATATTTAAGGCCACCAAATGTTGGGATGATGGAGAGTGGGCTACTAATGACACAGGGTTTTTTTTGGTTTGGTTTTTTAGGGGTGATAATGTTCTGGGGCAGTGGTTTTCAACCTTCCTAATGTGAGCCTTTAATACAGTTTCTCATGTTGTGGTGACCACCACCATAAAATTATTTTGTTGCTACTTTATAACTAATTTTGCTACTGTTGTGAATCATACTGTAAATATCTGATATGTGACTGTGACCCCAAAGGAGACCCACAGGTTAAGAGCCACTGTTCTAGGGGACTTTGATTAATTGGATTCTTTTTTTTTTTTTAAAGATTTTTGTTTATTTATTATGTATTCAGTATTCTCAGTATTCTATCTGAATGTATGCCTGCAGGAAAGAAGAGGGCACCAGATCCCATTACAGATGGTTGTGAGCCACCATGTGGTTGCCGGGAATTGAACTCAGGATCTTTGGAAGAGCAGCCAGTGCTCTTAACCACTGAGCCATCTCTCCAGCCCCCAACTGGATTAATTCTTAGGGGATTAAGTAATAGCAGTGGTTATACAACTTTGTGAGCACACTATGAACTACTGACTTGTATATTTAAAAGGAGAAATTTTCTATTGTTTCTAAAAAAAAAACTTAAGCCCAACACGATATACTTATTTTCTAAAACTTACCTAGTTCAAAAACGAAATCGGATTCAAGATTGCCGGAGATGTTGAACACAGCTGTAGGTATTAAGAAAGGATCAAATGTAAGCCAAGTCTGGTGGCACAAACTTGTAATCACAGCTACTTGAAATTTCAAGCTCAGCCTGAATTACTGAGACTCTAACCTAAAATTAAAGGGGGGGGGGGGATCATGCTTTTAGTTCTGAAGGGTTCGCTTTTTCCATATTCACATACTGTTACCATTTTTTTCCATTTTAGGATTTGAAATTCCTGATATAGATGCAGAGAAGTTAATGTGTCCACAAGAAATTGTAGATTACATTGCAGATAAGAAGGATGTATATGAATAGTTTCAGGTAAATAATCTGACATTAAACCACATTCTCTCATAGGATTAAACAAGACTCACAGAAGTTGGAAGTATTGATAGAGACTGTCATTAGTTAGAGAACACAGACCCTTTATGGTTATCTGCCATCCAAGCCCTAACCCTTGCTGTGATCTTTAAGAGAGGCTTGGGAGCATCATTCCTGGAGAGGATTCAGCCCTCTTTGGTTTTTTAAGACAGGGTCTCTCTGTAGCTTTGGCGTCTGTCCTGGAACTAGCTCTTGTAGGCCAGGCTGGCCATGAACTCACAGAGATCCACCTGTCTCTACCTCCCGAGTGCTAGGATTAAAGGCGTGCGCTGCCACCACCTGGCTCAGCCTTCTTAAAAGCAGTCTTACACAAATACTGCATGTCACAACCCAGAAATGAACCTCCATTCCTGTTACCCTTCCAGCACAGCCTTACCTGCTCCAAGAAGCAGAGATGGCCTAGGGTTGCTCCCAACTAAGAGGGTGGGCTTTAGAGACAGAGACCCAAATTGGCTGTAATACCCCTTATGCAGTGAGTCTGATGATCTTGGACAAGTTGCTGAACTATGAATTTAGTCCCATGTAAAATGGCAGTGAAGACTGACCCTATCAGGGCTTTGTGAAGGTCAAACTGGGTCATAGATGGGCATCATTGCCTGGTGTAAGCCTTAGTTGATAGTCGCTGTTGTTTCAGCTCTACTGTTTTATGCTTAGAATATTTAGTTTCAGTGCACTGGGCACCTTAAAGGTGGTACTTAAGGGTCGGTGACTACACACTAAAAAGAAACCCAACTTATCTTGTCATTGCCAGAGCCTTCTTCCTCATCCGGAGGACTCCGAGAATGCCCGATTGCATCATGGCTGACTGACAGCGGTTCTGTTGGACTTGTATTTAAATTGTCTGAGTGTTTTACCCTTTAAAAATAAATCTATTATAAAACTAACATTTTTCTCAGTCTTCAGTTTCCTTTTTCTTTTTTGAGACAATCTTGTTCTCGCCTGAACTCATTAGCACAGCTAACCTCCCAAGTGCTAAGATTATAGATTTGAACCACCCTGTTCCACCTAATTTTTAATCTTACTGATTTTGCTTAATGCTTTTAAAAATCTGTCATCGATAACCATGCATATCAAAAATACAGCCTAGGGTACTGTGCTGGGCAGGTAGGGTGAATAATAAAAAATAATGTATTTTGTGTAAAAATGCCACAATGAAACCCATTATTTTGTATGCTGACAAAAAAATAAATAAATAAAAATGAAAACTGTATGACCTATCCAGGCATGGTGGTATATGCCCAAAGCTCTATTGTATAAGAAGTAAAGCCAACTGGGTAACATCATAGCAAGATACTGTGTTCCAGCAATGCACCTGAAGTAAGTTTCCCTTTCCCACCTCAGTACATGTACGTGTGCTCACGGTGAAAGAACACTTGCTTCGCTTGTTTTTCCCTCCGTGCCAATGAATTAGATGTGACTGGCTGACAGCATGCAGGGCTAGTTCTTCCCAAAAAACCTCTTTCCAAAATACCAGAATTGAAGTTTGGGGGGAGGATCAACTCTGCTTTCAACACTGCTCTTCAGTCACGTAGCCATTCTCTGTTCTGCCCCCACCCCTTTTGAGACATGCTTTCTCTAGAGCCCAGGCTGGCCTCCGACAGTCCTAGCTCAGTCTTCCGAGTGTTGGGACAATACATATATGCCTCCACAGCAGCTACCCTTTCATTCTCAGCACTGTAGTTCTTGGGGTTGATGTAGGTAATGTGTACACATAGCTTACATCCTGTTTGAGAGTTATGCCAAAATTGCTTTTTTACTGCAGTTTATTGTTTGTAGGAGAGAGCAGAAGCAGGAGCTTGTAGAAGGTGATATCAGCAAGGCAAGAAACTGAGGTGAGCCTCAGCCAGCAGAGATATTTCTGGGTGGGATGAGGTAGTGGAAGGGGAGCAGCCAACTCTACATTTGGGCCTACCTTCAAGGCACACTTCTTTCTGAATTCCCCAGTCTCTTTATCTCCTTAGAGTTATTCTAGACATGGTGGTCACACATACTTTCTAGTAATAGAAACCACTGTAGTGCTGGGGATAGGTTCAGGGGTTCACATGTTAGACGAGTGTTCTAACACTATGCTACACCCTCGGCTACCCTCCTTTTAAATTAATTTTTTAGCATTACTTTTTCCTCCCTTCAAACTTTACCATACAGTCCTCCCTACTCGCCATCAAATTCTGTTATTGTGTATATACACACACGCATGAGTGCACATATTCCTAATTATAACTCTCCTTCGAATCATGGTCTCTTTGTTGTGTGGATATATATATATATATATGATGTGTGTCATCTTTATTCAGTTCATGTTTAGGCAATCTGTTGGTGAGACTTAATGGGTAAACATTTAAGAAAGTACCATGTAAAACTGCCATCATGGAGCATTAAGGAGCCTAGTTTCTACAGATTCCTTTATTCCATGAAGATCTTGAAACTTGTTACATACTGACAACCAACAGTGAACCACTCAGGCTACAAGTGACTGACTGCTCTGACCAGAACTAGGATATTTTGTTATTAGTCCCCCAAGTTGTTCTGGCTACTTTAAATCCCAGGACAGCTGAAGAGCTGACCAAAGACTGCATCTAGATTCTTTTGCCAAAGATCACAAAGTTTAGCAGTACTGCCACCAGGGCAACTTCTCATTAATATCTCACCACATGCCTGGCCTGTTCACGTCACTCTGGAGGTAGCTAAAGTCCACTGGTCACAGATTTAGGGTCATTGTGCTTAACTATCCCTTGATGCTCTAAAAATTCATCAGAATGGTTTCAGTAAGGATTCTGTGTTTTGATAGGTAGGCAGCAACCTGACCACACATAGCATTCCAAATTGCATAGAAATCAGAGGACAGAAACCATGCAGTTAATGTGTAAGTTTGGTGTGTATGTTGACGTGTGTTGTGGCAAAGACCAAGGTTGATGATATGGGTCTTCCTCCTCCTTACATAATGAGGCTTGCTGCTCATCTAGCTGGCCAGATGGTGTGGGTCATTTCCTGTCTTTTGTGTCCTGGGTGACTCGTGAGCCCTTGTGGCTAGGGATGAAGCTGGATGGTAGAGTAGAACACTTGCCCAGAATGCACAAGACCCTGGAGCCAGCACTGTCTTCAGCCACTGTCTCCCAGTACCTCTAGTTCAGCCACTTCAGTCCCCTCTGCCCACCCCCCACAGTCCCAACAATGAGCCCACCAGGAGACTCGGGAGATGTTTAAAGTTTCTGTGACAGTATTTCCAATAACATGAGCTGTGCTGATGTACCAATGACATATCCCCCTCCAGGTGTTCTTAAAATCCTGTAAGCAAACTGATGGTGAAGGAGTGAGTCTGTCCACCCTGAGCTTCTAACTGTCATGGGAAAACGCAGCATGACTGCTCTAAGTCAAAGACCAGAGAGATGTAACTTTGGGAAACATGGAGCTGGAAGGCGCTAGGAGGAAACATTTGGGGACAACTGGACTGTATGTATGTGATAAGACAGTGTTAGCGTTAGAGTTCTTAGGTTCAACAGCTAGAGTAACTACTGCCTGGGAATACAAAATATTTAGGAATGAAGCATGACAGCAGCTGACTTGAAATGATTCAGGAAAAAAAATTAAAATGCTAACTGTTGACTAAGCTAGTGACACTAATATTCTTTCAGCTGTCAAATCACCAAAAGTTGGGAGAATGCTTCAATATAAATTTGAAAAGGAACATACTGAGGACTTATAATCGGATGTCCAGCAAGATCTCATGAACTCTGAGACTAGCCTGAAACAAACTGTCTCAAAAGTTAACAAGCGCTGGGTGGGGTTGGTTGACTAGAAACAAATCTGTAGAATATGGAAAAGTTAAGTGAAAATAAACACAGGCCTGTAATTCCAGCACTTGGGAGGAGGTGAGAGGATTAGAGGAGTTCAAGATTACCCTTGGCTGCATGGCTCTCCCTCTCAAAACAAGGTGAAGAGGCAGCACGATCCCTTCTATAAATCATACAATGAAAAAAATAAAAGGCACTAAAGTATGAATAGTTGCCATCAGAGAGAGGAGTAGTTAACAATGAAGGTATCATGCTGGGTGGTGGTGGTGCACACCTTTAATCCCAGCATTTGGGAAGTAGAAGCAGGTAGATCTCCCTGGTGAGTTCAAGGCCAGTCTGGTCTACAGAGCTAGTTCCAGGACAGCTAGGGCTGTTAAACGAGAAACCTTGTCTTGGAAAAAAAAAAGGAAAAAAGAAAGTATCATAGAGGGTGTGAACACTGACAGAAGTCCAGCCCAGGCTAAGGAGCTGGTGCCGTGTAGCACCACATAGGAAGGGCAGCATACAACAGCCGGGGCAGTAATGAATGGAAATCCAAGTGACTGCCCCATGTGTGAACCTCAGCTACCTAAGTTCAAACCAGGGCTACATGAAGTCCAGTCTCAAAAATAAAATATAGTATTAAAAGTAGGAGAGACATCAGACTCTGGTTTAGGAAACTTGCAGCACAGGGACTACATGGTCACCTGCAGTTAAAGTGACCAGGGTGAGTCCACCAAAGGACCTCGTAGTCTAACTAAGGAATGTATTAGCCACTGTGGGATTTTCTGAGGGCAGACACCTAGGGTGTACTGAAGAGGATGAACCTGATGGGTACCACAAGAGCTCATAAGGAAAAAGACCGGAGACTGGGATAAAGTAATGGACGGATAAGGCCTCTGACTAACTTGGTATCAATTGTTCACACAGGTGAGCTGCTATTGAAACCAGGAATAAAATGAGGGTACAAGATTTTTTTTTTAATATTTATTTATTATGTATACAATACTCTGTGTGTATGCCTGCTGGCCAGAAGAGGGCACCAGACCCCATTACAGATGGTTGTGAGCCACCATGTGGTTGCTGGGAACTGAACTCAGGACCTTTGGTAGAGCAGGCAATGCTCTTAACCTCTGAGCCATCTCTCCAGCCCCAGGGTACAAGATTTTTAAGGGGTGTCATAATTCCCATTTGGGACATGGTGAATTTGACGGGCTCGTGGGATACACAAACAGGCAAACAAGATGAGCAAAAGGGTAAGAAAAATGCCATGCTGGAGCCAGGACTCACAGCTAAGGGCCTATAAGGTGCCTCCTCACTCTAGCAAGCGAGTTAAAGCTGATTGTGTTCCTGGGATGGGTCTTCATGTGCTGAAGCCTGCATGAATTCTGCTCCTTCAGCAATAGAGCAGCTGGGATTGTAAGTAGAAAGGGAAGCAGACATACATCTATCACTTGGAATTCCCTTATCTAGTGCAGTATATATGACTTTGAGTTTTAGAAGTGATAATAAAGCCAAATGAGCAAATTTCAGACTTTTATTAATAAGTTCAATGAATAAATGCCAAGGTAAAGGTTTAAGCAAGCAATTCCCAACATGCATCAGTGAAATCAGGGAGGGGACAATCAAGCAAAATAGGCAGAACCACTTTTCTTAAGTCCTAAATAGTGAGGTGAATGGTTGCAGAATTCAGCATTGGGCAAATCTGGGTTCTGAATCATCTGGTTGGTTACAGATGGGCATGTGATTGGTTGCTGGGCCTAAGTCCTTTAATGGCTGAAATAAGGGAACCGAGAGTGCTCACATTGCAGGAGCTGGATGCAGTAATTAGAATAAGTCCTATGAGAGAGCCCCCCCAGGTCTTCCTCTCTGGCTGTCATTCTTCCCTTGAAGGCTGGAGCCCTAGAAAAGGTGTATTCAGGCAGTACTTTGTCACATAGCAAGAGGTCAAAGCCCTGTGAGATGGCCTGTCAGAGTGCTGTTATCTCTATAGAGTAACTGCTGAACAGTCAGTCTCACAATGAATGGGGCATCTTCGAAACTGAAGGGACAATGTCTGGTCTGTGGAGGGCAAGAGTAACAGAATAATGCATCAACTGGTACTCTTGCCAGAA